TCTGCTCTGACTGAATAAAACTGTGGGGGTTGAGGAGTCAGGAGGAACTGCCAGCCTCACAGGAAAGTTTGTTGAAGAGAATGTACACAAACCAACCCACCCAAGAATCAGCACCAGAAGGACCAACTTGATTGTGGGTAGCGAAGGAAGTGACTGAAAACTGGCAGAGAGCAGATCAAGTGCCACTGTTCCCTCTTGGACCCTCCCCCACATACAGTGTCACAACAAATTGACGTGTGTTGCCCTGCCCTGGTGAACACCTAAGGCTCCACCCCTTAAAACGTAACAGGTGCACTGAAACAAAAAAAATTCCCAAATGAAAGAACAGATCAAAGCTCCAGAAAAAAATATAACTAAGCGATGAAGAGCTAGCCAAACTATCAGATGCACAGTTCAAAACACTGATTATCAAGATGCTCCAGGAACTCACTGGGAACTTCAACAGCATAAAAAAGACCCAGGCAGCAATGAAGGTTGCATTATGTGAAATAAAGAAAAATCTACAGGGAACCAACAGTGAAGGGAAGGAAACTGGGACTCAAATCAATGATTTGGAACAGAAGGAAGAAAGAAACATTCAATCAGAACAGAATGAAGAAACAAAAATTCAAAACAATGAGGAGAGGCTTAGGAACCTCCAGGACATCTTTAAATATTCTAACATCCAAATCATAGGGGCGCCAGAAGGAGAAGAGGAAGAGCATGAAATTGAAAACTTCTTTGAAAAAATAATGAAGGCAAACTTCCCCAATCTGGCAAAGGAAATACATGTTCAGGAAGTCCAGGAACACACCAAGGAACATCATAACTACATTACCCAAAATGAAAGATAAGGGGAGAATCTTAAAAGCAGCAAGAAAAAAGGAGACAGTCACCTACAAAGGAGTTAACATCAGATTGTCAGCTGATTTCTCAAAACAGACCTTGCAGGCAAGAAGGGGCTGGAAAGAGGTATTCCAAGTCATGAAATGCAAGGACCTACATCCAAGATTACTCTATCCAGCAAAGTTTTCATTTAGAATGGAAGGGCAGATAAAGTGCTTCTCAGCTAAGGTCAAGTTCAAGAAGTTCATCATCGCCAAACCCTTATTATATGAAATGTTAAAGGGACTTATCTAAAAAAAATAAGATAAAAAATATGAACAGTAAAGTGACAACAAACTCACAACTATCAACAACTGAACCTAAAAAAAACAAAACAAAACAAAACGCACCACAAAAATGAACAAAGCAAGCAACTAGAACAGGAACAGAATCACAGAAATGGAGATCACATGGAGGGTTATCAGCAAGGAGGGGTCAGGGGAGAGTGGGGGAAAAGGTACAGGGAATAAGAAGCATAAATGGTAGGTACAAAATAGACAGGGGGAGGTCAAGAATAGTATGGGAAATGGAGACACCAAAGAACTTATATGTATGACCCATGAATATGAACTGAGGAGAAATGATGGTGGGAGTTAGGTACAGGGTGGAGGGGAATAAAGAGGAGGAAAAATGGGACAACTATAATAACATAATTAATAAAATATATTTTTGAAAAAATAATACTATGTTGCCATTAAAACTCATATTTTAGAGCAAAAAAATAAAAATCTTAAAAAAAAAGAAAAATGACACAGGACAGGTTATGGGCTTCACACAGGTTGCTCAGCAAAACTAAGACTGGATTCCACAAATGTTAACTCAAAGGCAGAAATTCTCTTCACCAGATAACTTTTATAAAAGGTCTCTTAATAGACACCCCCTCCAAATAAGAAAGGTGGTTATGCGATCAGAGTTCTGAACTGCTAAACATGTGAAACAGTTTCTTTTACTTGGCACTTTTAAACCAGGGATTGTATCTGAGAAAATTCAATAAATATTTCCTAGGTCTATATTCAGTTCTAAGGCACATGCTTAGTTTGGTTTTTGATTTCCTTCAATCTCTGTTTTCTCTTATGAAATACTTCATTAATAATTCCATTGGTATATTGTGCAAAAGAAAATGAAACTTTCCAAAATTTACCATCATGAGCTTTGTTTCTTATCATGTGCCACTTTTCTAATTTCAACACTAAAAAAAAAAAGTAGAAATTGCAACACTTAAGACCAATAGCCACTAGATGGCAGAGTTTACCATTTCATTTTTCCTTGTTTACATCATTCATTCATTCATTCATTCATTCAAGAATTATTCTTTGAGTTATCTACTATGTGTCCAGTGCTTTTCTAGGAATCAACAAATTACAAAAGAGTCACATGTTATGGGTCCTGCCCTTAACAAGCTTAGGGAAAGGACACTCTGTTGCTAAGAAAAACACACCTGAAAACCTTTAAATGAAAGTACCCATGATTATGTCCCAAATGACTGATACAGACTGCTGTATGAATTCAAGAGCCAGAACAGGGGGGAAGTCTGCATGGAGAAGGAAAGAGCTGAGCTGGGGCTTGAAGGATGAATTAAAATAGACCAGAAAGAAAGAATAAATCCCAGGCAAAGGGACCAGTGTGAATCATGTTATTGAGATAGAAATGAACAAAACATGTGCTCAGGTCAGTGATGACACTAACGTGGTTACAACAAACATACTGGGTAAACAAGATTGAAATAAATTAGATCTCCATTGATTTTCCTAAAATTTTGCCCACCATAAAAGGTAAAGTTATCTATTACGTCTGGCAATAACTATAGCCTTTAGGCTGGTAATTTGGTCTAGCTTCAGTTTCATCATCTGTAAAATGCGCAGGTTGGACAAGATGACCTCTAATAGCCCTCACAAATCTTATAAAAGAGAGAAAGATGGGGAGGTGGACAGGCAGGGAAATATTAACGGAGGAAGAAAAGAGGGAAGAGGAAGGAAGTGGAAGGTAAGGGTGGGGAGGGGAGGAAAGGGGAAAAAACTGATTCTAAGTTCCCCAGCAATTGCTATATAGCCATTGTCATGTGTCCACTGCAAACATAGTGACAATCTAGGGCAGTGATTAGAGCTTGGGCTGTTCTGTTAGCTAGACAATTGAAGTCTTGCATCAGTTACTATCTGTTCAATAGGAGGCAGGTTAACTTAGCCTCTATAAACCTCACTCGTTCATTCAACAAATATGTATGGTAATATGTTCATTGAATGGTCTAATCCTTACTATATGCTGAGACCTATGCTAGTCAGTGGGAATAGACAGATGAATAAGACAGACAAGATCCCTTCTTTGGAGCTTATGGTTTTGTAGGTGAAACAGTCCAAAAATAATCACACAAAAAACTCGTTAACATTGTAATAAGTGCAAAAGTACATAGTGCTATGAGAGAGGCCTTTAGGTAAAGGCCTAACCCAGTTTGGTAGGTCAAGGGTTCCTCCAAGGAGGGATAAGCCAGGCAAAGCTGAGTTCATTTCAGGTCAAGCGAACAGCATGTACAAGGGCTGTAAAACTAGAAGGAGCTTGGCACAAGAGACTAAATGGCCACGGTAGATGGAGCACAGAAAACTACTGAGCTAAGGGCAGAGGGGAGATGGGGATATGTAAGTCAACAGAGCCTAGGTTATACATTGCCTTGAGGGCCCTATAAAGTCTGTAGACTATGTTCAAGCAATGAGCTGTCTCACTTTCTGAATTTGTAAAAGAGAGAGAATAGTTATACCTCCCTGAATAAGGTAGCTGTAAAGATTAAAAGTCACCACTGCCCTCTCCCATCTGCACCTTCTTATTGAATCTGTCAGCAAGTTCCATCAGCACTGTCTTCAATAAATCCATCACCTCCAAAATTCATTTGCATCTCCAATGCCACCACCCCAGTCTGAGTCATTGTCTGAAGCCCGGGCTATTGCTAACTGGTCCCCGTGACCTCCACTTTTGCTCCCCTCCAATCCATTATCCCTGCATCAACTCAAATGGTCTTACTAAAATGTAAATCTGATCTTGGCACACCTTTACTTAAACCTTTCAGTGAGTGCTCACTGCTTTTAGGATACAGACCAGATCCTTAGGACATACTAATGCTGCTCTCTTCCCTGAGATGTACATTTCAGCTCCACACTCCCACCCCCTACTCACCTAGTTCATTCCAATACATCTTTATTTCTCTCCTTCAGGAAAGCCTTCCCTGATCCCAGCCCATCATCTATTTCCAGTTCTTTTGCAATTTACTCAGAGAACCATGTTCTTTCTCTTCTAATCACTTATCTCTGTAATTACAGTCACCAGTGTGATTTTTTAATGCCTATTTCTGTCACTAAAATATAAGCACAAAGAAAGCAAGGAACACATATTGTTTGCTCACTTTTGTACCTGCAGAATGTTGCCCAATGCTTGACATGTAGGAAGCACTCAGTGAATTATCTGTTTATTGAATTATCAAGATGTTGGCTACTGCGACAAATAAAATTAAGTGTAAAGGTAATAATTATCATTATTATTTTTACTTAATTATATTAAATATTATAATTATAAATATGCCATTTTATTGATAATTATTGATAATTAACCAGGAACATATAAGCAAAATGATGGCACAGACCATGTGGCTGGTCAATAAATACTCTAGCACCTTTATTCAAAGCCCCAATGTCTATATTTAGATCAATTATTATTATTATATAACTATAGCTACCACCAGGCATGGTTATGAGACCCGGAAGTCAGACTAGACCTAAATCCTTGTTCCACTACTATCTTTGTGATTACAAACAAGTTAGTCTTTCTGGGACAGTGTTTGTTCTCAGATTCAGGAAATTTTAATGAGACCATGCAGGGAAAGTGCTTGGCACAGTATCTTCAATGTAATATGCACTCAAAACTATTATTGTTACATCTTACAGATTCTTGATAGTTTGAACAAATACCTGTTAAAATGTACAGTGAAACCAAAACATCAAAGGGTTTGTGAGAACATAATGTCCCAGCCTGCTGCTGAAAACAAGGAAAAACAAACTCCATCATGATATATTACAATCTACCTGCAATCAGGAAAACTAAAGGGAACTTTCAAGGAGACAAGGAAGGCTACAGAACATTGAGTCAGAGGCCTCTGAGAATGAAAATGCATTGTTTATTGTATGTAACATCATCTGGAATGCAAACATAGTGGAGAACGCCCCAGAAGGCTGGCTATCTTAATGGTAGCAAACCACTGAGGGCACCAACATCAAATTCATACTTGACCTAATCTATCCTATCCCTCTGATTCTCCAAAACTTATTACCTTGAGGAAACTAAATTAATTGCCCATGTCCTTTGTTTGGAGGAATTAGCTAACAGTCCATTTTGCTCCACCCAAACATTATCTGCTGTGCTTAAGCCAGTGCTGCTCCTTTGGATAGACACCTTTAAAAAGGAATCTCTGGGTAGGAAAAACCTTCACAATCCAAGGGATTAAATCTCAAATGGTAGAATCTAAGAAAATAAGACATGCAATGCATAAAATAGATTCAAGAACAGCACATTGCCCTGTGTGCTCCAGATCAGGCAGTGATTAGCAGCAGGTGTTTGGGATAAGATAGAGGGGATTTCAAATCCAATTTCAAACCCTAGATCTGCAACATACTAACTGGGGAATCCAGGTAAGTTAATTAAATCCATTTTCTCAACTGTAAAATGGGGATAATAAGGATCTATCCTACCAGGTTTGTAGAAAAATGAAATGAAATGAAGTCATCCAAGAAGAGCCTGGAATAATTTTTCAAGAGCTCATGTATTTTTATTATTTAATCAAATCTGGTGATTAAACAGAGCTGGCTGTGGCCCGCTCTTTTCTGAAACCATGGCAGGCTCCTCTCAGAGAGCAGTGGGGCATGTGTGGTCAGCCGCCCTGTTTGTATTTCAGGCAGAGAGTGGAAAGAGCAGCAATGATGGGAAGCCCAGACCTCTGGCCACTGGTCCCAACTGACTAGTAATAGCCACATGCAGGACATGAAAGGGAAAACTTACAAAGGCAGATGAAAAGCGACCCTCCCAAATAAAAACATAAAAGCACAATTCAGTATAATTATGCCCAGACTTCCGCTGGGAGAAGTTGGCACACTAATTTTTACATAAAAGCTACCAGGCTGATTAACATCCTGCGTCCTTGAGGGGGGGCAGAGTAGGTGTGAAGCCAGTATTAAGCAAAAGGGTTCCTCTCTCCCATCTTCCCAACAATAACCCTAATGCCCCAGACACCTTCCTTGTGTAAACCTCAGTTTTTCAGGCCCCTTCCGTCTGTTCCCAGAAACCACAGATGGATTTGGCTTCCCACTTTTAGAAGCCTCCAGAGGTTTCCCAAGTCCTTCCTCTCTATTAAAACACACCTGTCCATTCCCCAAGTCCTTACTATTTACTAGATGTCAGTGATATAATTTGGGGTGAAAGCACACTAATATTTTGATGATTTTGTTTCCCACCAACCCCAGAGTTTCAAAGAATACATTCTGAAAGATATTAAATCAGCAAATATTTCTGAGGGCCTAGTGTGTACCCAGTATTGTGCTAGGTCCTATAAACCGTACCAAGGAACAGAGTTGCCACAGTGGTTCTATCCAACCTACTACCAGGGTGCTAACATCGGCAGCAAAGAATGTGCTGTGGAAAAAAACAGGGGTGGGACATTCATGCCATCTTCCTGGCAGGTAATTTAGCCAAACGTAACAAAAGCTTTAAATTCTTATATAATCTTTGACCCCAAAATGATCCTCCTAAGAATTTAGAATAAGGAAGTAATCAGAGATACATAAATTATGCAAGTACAATAATGTGTATTGCAGCATTATTTATAGTACCCAAAACTTGAAAATAATCTAAATATCCAAAATAAAGGATTGGGTAAATAATTGATTCTGCATCTCTATGACAGAATACTGTATATACATTAAAATCATATTAATACAAGTCTCTTTAAAGACAGAAAAAAATCTTTTTCTTGCTGAATGTGAAATTTTTGTTTTAATTTTATGCATACAGAAAAGATTAAAAAGATGTATCCCCAGGGGAGTGGGAGGAAGAGAGAAGGAGAAAAGGTACAGAGAACAAGTAGCATAGATGGTAGGTAGAAGAATAGACAGGGGAGGTTAAGAATAGTATAGGAAATGTAGAAGCCAAAGAACTTATATTTATGACCCATGGACATGAACTAAAGGGGAGAAAGGTGGGTAGGAGGGGGCGTGCAGTGTGGAGGGGAGTGAAGGGGGGGGGAAATGGGACAACTGCAATAGCATAATCAATAAAATATATTTTTAAAAAGATGTATCCTAAATGTTGAAAAAATGGTTATCTCAAAATGATAGGATTACTAGTGACCTTTCCTGAGTTATCTATTCTAACTATCCAAAAGAAACATTCTTTTCTTAATTGGAAGAAACAATGAAACATCTACTTTTTAAATGTAATATTCCCTGAGAAGACTGTCTTTCTTATAACATCCAAGAGGAATGATACTGCCATCTTCTCCCCATGTATCCATTTGTGGTTTTGCATTTATAAATGTGTTTAACACTTATAATCATTTTTACTTCTGATTAGTAACTTCTTATGCTATTATGTTTTTAAATAATTGTACATTCAAAGGAAGCTGCAAGAAATGTATAGGGAAGCCCCATGCATCCTTTCCTCAGTATTCCCCGACCTTTGCATCTTATACTGCTATAATGTAATACCAAAACTAAGAAATTGACATTGGTATAATCCACAGTGCTTACTCAGATTTCAACAGTTATACATGCACACATTTGTGTCTGGGTGTGTGGGGGTGGGTGTTTAGCTCTATATAATTTTATCGCATGTGTAGCCTTGCATAAGCACCACCACAATCAAGATGTAGAACATTTTCATCACCACCAGGATCCCTCTCCAATTCCCTAACCCCTAGTAACCACTAAACATTCTTCTACCTCTGTAATTTTGTCATTTCAAGAATAGTATACAAATAGAAACACACAATACGTAACCTTTCAGGATTAGCCTTTTTCACTCAGCACAAACTGTCTAGAGATTCATCCAGTTTGCCACATGTATCAATAGTTCATTCCTTTTTTTTTTCTTACTAAGTACTATTCTAAGGTATGGATGCACCACTTCATTGAACCGTTCATCCACTGAAGAGCATCTGGATGTTTCCAGTTTTTGTCTATTACAAATAAAATTTCTATGTATATTCATGAACAGTTTACATATTTTTTAAATCTCAATTTATGGCACCCAAGAACCTGAGAAAGCCTCTTCATCCTCTGCACTAGGACTTGTTGTACAAATCCATGTTTACCTCACCCACACATGTACAGTTTTATGAGAAACAAGCTAGATTAAGAAAAGAACTGGAGTTATGCTGTATTTTCTCACTGAATAGTACTTTTTAAATTTTCTGCCTCTGCCCCGGACTGTGAGCTTACATGGAAACAAAGACCATAACTCAATCACCTCTACTCCTAGGGCAGGTGTAGGGCCTCCCATAAAATAGGTGTTTAGAAAATGTCAGGATCTCTAGGGGTAAATGGGGCCCAGGGGTAGATGTTTGAGAACAAACTCCATAGATTACAATAGGCTGTCAGGGTTAAGAACTACCATTGAGCTGAACATACAAATATGCAAAAAGGAAGAAGGAAAATTCATGGTAAGGGCAGACTCAGAACAGGGGGGGAATCAATGTTCTGTTATCTTTCTGTGCCTTAGAGAGAGTTCTGTGTCCACATTAGCCTCTAGACTACACAGTAGGGAATCCATAATTTCCACTACTGTGTTTGAAAAGTGCTGTTGATGAATCTCTATGGCTGACTGGGGCTTTACCTATTTCAAAGGCCGGCCCACACATCTTTGGATCCCCAGACACCTTCAGGAGTCTGAGGGAAAAAGCAACTGGCAATATGAATTACCTTGAAGGTGCTTATTTGTTTAGATGAGATCATTACGTTTGGCAATGCTTTGGAGGAGAGGAATGATGACTTCTTATATTACTGGATCACGTGGGAAACCCAGCCTAAATTGTCCCTTGACAAATGCCAGTTCTTCCAGACCTCAAAATATGTTGGACAGCCCTGACTGGTGTGGCTCAGTGGGCTGGGCATTGTTCCACTAACTGGAAGGTTACGGGTTTGATTCCCGGTCAGGGCACATGCCTGGGTTTCGGGCCAGGTCCCCCGTTGGAGGCATGCGAGAGGCTACTGATTGATGTTCCTCTTGCACATCGATGTTTCTCTCCCGATCTCACTCCCTTCGCCTCTTTCTAAAAATAAAAATAAATAGATTCTTCACAAAATATATTGGACATATAATCACAAAGGGGCTGGGCACAGACTCTGGAAAGATCACTGAATGGCCAGGGCCCAAACTGTTTAAATATTTGGGGGATTCAGCAGACACTACCACAGTTGGTTGAAGGACTAATTCAAAAATTGTAAAACACTTCACTGAGTTGGGTTAGGGCACAGGTGGCAAACACAAGGCCCATGGGCCAAATCTGGCCCTACACCCTGTTTTATCTGGCCTGTCACTGTGTTTCTACCCAGTAGCAGCACTGAGTTCCTTGCCCCTAGTTAAGGAGTAGTTACATTTATACAGTCCTAAAATTACATTTGGCCCTTTGAAAGCAACCTTGAGGCTACTGTGGCCCCCAGTGGAAATGATTTTGACACCCCTGCCTTATGGTAATCAGATCATAATTGTAGCACACATGAGTTGAAGAGGGAGGGGAAGGCAGGGACAAAATACCAGGGACTGTGGAGGTCAGAAGAACTCGTGTTGGGGGCACAACTATGTTACATACGAAAATAAAGCTGCTCTGGGATTGGGGGGAGGGGCAAAAACAATCACACAAAGGAGTTTTCACGTGGTCAAACTTCTCTCATTTGCTCTACCTCTAACTTCAACTTTTTTCAGATTGGCAGGCTGCCTGGCTCATGGTTCTGTTTTAGCATATGCTGTCTACCACTACCAATGCCTTTAATAAATTGATGCCCGTTTTGAACTGGGAACTTGGGATCTGTGCTATGTCATAAAAAGACAAAAGCAAAGATAACCTCTGCTTTTTGCCAAGTGGAGTCTAACAGCTTATGAGACCTAGAATCCAATTCAAAAATTCAAATTTTTAGTAGAAAGTAGACATTTCTAGACAATATCCTCAGGTACTTGGTGCCCTGGAAGGCAGGGACCACAGGCCTTGACTGACTTTCTGAGGAAAGGGCATCTCCTTTACGGTGGAGGGATGAACTATTGGCTGGGTAGGGAGAATGGAAGGCAAGGAGTAACGGAAGTGCAGACTCAGTCTCTGGGATTGAGAATACAGCTGCAAAATGCCTTCCCTGAGCTTGTTTGGAGTCGAGTAAACTAATTCAAGAAAGCAAGCCCTGCCTCTTTTTCACAGTTCCCCAAAATGCTTGTTTCAGCCTCCTCCTGCCCTATGGACAGAGGCAGGCTAAAATCTCATACTGGAATATGGAAAGGCTGTGACCCAAAAGTCCCTGTGCTCCTCCAAGCTGAGAAGTGAGGTGAGAGCTGCATTATCCAGATGTGTGCCTTGGATTCTACCTTTCTCAAAGAAAAAGGGGTCATGGTAGCCCAGGTGCAGACAATCATATTTGACATCAGCTAAATAGTTGAGAAAGGTAGTAGTGCTGCCAAAAGCAGGACTGGTGACAGCGAGGGGAGGAAGGAAGGGCAGGGTTGCTTTAAAGCATGTTAACGCCTTGGGTCCTCAGGGGCAACTGTGATCATGGCCCTGAAGAAGAGGACAGAAAGCTCCTTGACTGGTCACATTCAGGCCTCCCCTCTATCAGGAACACCACAGTCGAGTAGTCATGATCAAAAAAGGAGAGGAGTGGGCAAAGGCACAGACAGAACACTGTGTGGGATTTGTAAAAGGAGGTATCTGGGGCATTTTGCTGTTATGCCAAAATTTGTGGTGGGAGGACTTGACCCTCTGCTCATATCCGCATTAAGTCATTGCCTATCTTCTATACTCACCTGGAGGTTGCTGGAAGGAACAGGTGAGTGGGTCTTCCTTTGTAATGACTCCAGAGTTTTCTCCCCAGGTAGTATACAACAGTTGAGGCTTTAGACTTGTTTAAACAAGGGTTCAAATCTTGGCTTTACCACTTATTTGCTGTGTGAGCCTGGGCAATTTAATTCACCTCTCTGAATCTCAGTACTCCTACCTGTAAAATGAGAATAATACTCATACAATAATACTTAAACAACTGTACAGTTCAAATGAAATAATATATATCAATGTCCTGATACCTAAAACAATTTTACATGGTGAAAAAAACATAAGCATGGAGACAAGTCAGACTCAGGTTTGGGCAAGCCAGGGTCATCTGAAACACGAAACACTCCAAATGACCATCAATACTTACCCCACAAGCACTGGCAGATCCGGGTATTGTGGGGCCTGAAGCTTATACCATTTGGGTTACATACATTTTTAAAAGTGAAAAATTAGGAACAGCCCTGGCAGGTATAGCTTAGTGGATTGAGCACGAACTGTGAACCAAAGGGTCAAAGTTTGATTCCCAATCAGGGCATATGCCTGGGTTGTGGGCCAGGTCCCCAGTGGGGGCCATGTGAGAGGCAACCACACATTGATGTTTCTCTCTCTCTCTTTCTCCTTACCTTCCCCCCCCTCTAAAAACAAAAAAAAAGGAAGAAAATATTTTTAAAAATCAGGAGCAATTCCAAATATTTATTTATAATGAAACAATAAATCACAAGAAATTACATGTTTTAAAAACTCACATATACCATGTGCATCACAAAATTGAAAAAAAAAATGTTTTTCATTAAATTAACACACCTCTATGCTACCCTTTTTTGATCTGGGGACTGCATATCTTTTGATCACCTCTTCAATTGAAACCATTTTTTGTAGTATAATTTCTTTTTTTTTACTTTTTAAATTTTTATTTTATTGTTGTTCAAGTACAGTTGTCTACATTTTCCCCCCACCATTCCCCCCACCCCAGCCATCCCCACCTCCCAACCTCGATTCTATCCCCTTTGGTTTTGTCCAAGTGTCCTTTATACATGTTCCTGAAAATCCTTCCCCTTTCCCCCCCTCCATTATCCCCTTCCACCTCCCCTCTGGTTACTGTCAATTTGTTCTTAAATTCACTGTCTCTGTTTATATTTTGCTTCCTTGTTTGTTTTGTTGACAAACAACCCAATTAAAAAATGGGCAAAGGACCTGAACAGACATTTCTCCAAGGAGGACATACAGAGGGCCCATAGACATGAAAAAATGCTCAGTATCACTAGCCATCAGAGAGATACAAACTAAAACCACAATGAGATTCCACTAATTTTTAAAAGATTTTATTTATTTCTTTTCAGAGAGGGGGGAAGGAAGGGAAAAAGAGAGGGAGAGAAACATCTATGCGCGAGAGACACATCAACTAGTTGCCTCTTGCATGCCCCCTACTGGGGACCTGGCCTAGCAGCCCAGGCATGTGTCCTGACGGGGAATAGAACCAGTGAGCTTTTGGTGTGCAGGGCAGCACTCAATGCACTGAGCCACACAAGCCAGGGTTGTACTGTAATTTCTACAACGAGAATAGAAAAACAATTTAGCCTTTTCTGAGTTTAGAAAAGTATTTTTCAGCTTCACCACCATTCATCACTGGTTAATGTCATATAAATTTTCTGGATTGTCAAATTTGGAAAACCCTCTATTAAACCTCTATCATTTCTTTTATATATTAGCTGCAATATTTTAGGACATGTCATGTTTTTTATATAATGACTAATCTTAAATAAACTTTGGATTTACTGCTTTAGAAATGTTCCCACAAGTCATTTCTATACTGGTATAGCCAGCAGTAATTTAACTATATGCAAAAGTGATAGCAAACCACATCACTATAGCCACTAACCCCAACCTAATTTCTTTTTGGTTGGATCACCCAAAAGAATGGCTCTGGTAAAGACAGAATTCTTCCTACAAAGCAAAGAAATGCAGAAAATATGGAAAGAGCAGAATCATTTCCTGGATTAGGAAAAGATAGACAACATAGTTTTAATATATCTTGTGTCTTCACATATAGATTCAAGGTTTATATATGTATTTCTTTGCCATATACATGCAGAGGTGTCCAACAAAGGAAGAAATACAAAAGAAAAAACTGAAAGAATTGGCAAGGATTTAGGATAATTAAGCCCTGTTGAAAATGTAAATCAATTCACCTTCACATGAGGCAACTGGACAATATAAAAGTAACACTAACATTATAATGAGCTTGCTATTTGCTAAGCATTCTGAGAAGTGTTTTATACTGATTGACTTATTCCATCCTCATTTAACTTTATTGATATTCAATATGCACCATTTGTAATCATGAAAGACTCAAGACTCCTCAGCCCTGGCTGGTGTAGTTCAGTGGATTGAGCACAGGCCTGCGAACCAAAGGATCAAGGTTCAATTCCCAGTGAGGGCACATGCCTGGGTTGCAGGCCAGTTCCCAGTGGGACACATGAGAGATAATCATACATTGATATTTCTCTCCCTCTCTCCTTCCCTTCACCTCTAAAGATAAATAAATAAAATCTTTTTAAAATACCTTTAAAAAAAGTCTCAGATACCTAACAACAGGGTTTGGTTAGATGGAACACAGAACCTCCATACAATAGTGAGGGAGAACAGATTTTGCCACCTCAAAATGTGCTTCTTTTGGATATTTATTATTTTAAGCTGGTTATTTTTAAGAAATGAAAGGCTCAGGGAGAAACTCAAAACCTCCCCCTTTTCATACCAATAGAAAAACCTGCTTAAAGGAAGGGAGCTGTTACCTTAGCATCATAAAATGATCTAAGCGTGGCAGACAGGGAGAAGCCAAGCAAAATCTATGTTAGTTTCCCTTTTGTGTTCCATTGTTTCTGGGAGGCCTAGCAAGAATTTATCCAATGTTTGCTCTTTCTGGCCTATCTGTGAATTGCCTACTTTTCCTTTGAAGTGCCAGACCCACATCTCTCCTTAGTCCAGAATGGCATGTAAGTCTCAACTGCCCAGTATGTCTTCTGGTCTAATATGCTTACAAAACCCCTATACATATATCCATAATAAATTTGGTCATGTTAATCTGGCTCATGTTATCCTGGTTATCCGACCAGCCAGAATAACTTAGAAAGTGATTTAGATCCCTTACTAAGTGATCTAAAAATCATTAGAAAATGCTTTTTCCTCCTCCCACAATAAGACTGAAATGATTTATATCTCCTAACATGGAAAACTGCCCAAGATATAATGTTTTTTTAAGGGTCAAAATGATAACAATGGTTGTTTCTAAGTGGTGAAATTTTTCTATGAGCTTGGTTTTCTGCATTATACCTATTATGCCTTACAAATTTTTGCTATTGCTAGCCCTGCTACCCAGGAGTAAGTGATAGGCATACAACCTATGCTGTCACACAGAGGCCCAAGCTTAGAAGAGCCCAGGTTTGGTTTAATATTTTGCTGTCACTGTGTTGAAATTCTGAGTAATTCATGAGCAAGGGGCCTCACATTTTCCTTCTAAACTGGGTCCTGCGAATTACGTAGCCAGTCCTGTCAGCCGTACAGCTTGCCTGAAGCATGTTGATCTATAATCATTACCGCTGTGAGAACTTGATACTCTCATCTTCCTTCCTTCAAGTGGAAGGGGAAAACCTCCCAACAAGGTGGCTTTTGACTCATTTTTTCCAATGTCAAAAGGCCTATCAACTCTCTCTCTCTGGAGAAGAAGGGGAAACCCCTAGGCCAGACTATTTTTCTTCCCTAGTAGGTTTTCGTTTTACACTCTTTCGTGGCACTTGACAGCATGGGTTGTGGATGTCCATATCAGGTGTCTGTCTGTCTGCCAATACCTTCCAAAAAGCCAATCTCAGCAGGAGAAAAATCTGTTCTGAGTTCTACAATCAATCCCAGCCACCTGCCTTAGCATCAAATGCACATGTGTACATTTACATATGTAAATTATCCTTAGGCCTTTCAATGATGAGCCCATACCCATACCCCGGAGATTTCCTTATACGTCATTCCCATCGACTAAACTTTTTATTGTCAGGAAGCGTTTCATGTAATTGTCCTCTTGGAGATTTCACTGCAATTCCTTCAGATCTCTTGTAAAGATTTATTTTTTAAAAACTAACCCCTGTCCTCCTATCCCTAAAAAATCATGCTTTTGAAATGTCAGAATAATGTCCTTAACCTCCTTTATCTCTACCCTTGCTACCCATTTCTAAGGCAATATCTACTGAAAGGAAAGAGAGTCACAGTCCTATGGTGACTTAATTCCCTTAAATATAGTGGCTGTAACATCTTGTCAAAAGCTTTTTGGGGTCAATTTATATTACATCCACCAAATGTTTTATCTACATGCACCTTAATCCTTCAAATTCAATTAGCAAGGTAAGACTTATAGAAATCATCACATTTCCTCTAAGGAATTATCTTCTACTAGTTTTACTGACATGATGGTCAAACTTCCCAGGTCTTGAGTGACCTCCATGGTCCCATAATTGTCATATAAAAAAGTCTACTTATGGATATGTTCAAACACACACAAAAGTATAGTGAATAGTGCAATGAAGTTCCAAGTATCCATTACTCAGCTTCACCTATTACATTCCGCCTATCTCAATCATCACTTTTAAATTTTATTTCTTGAATTAGAGAAAATTTTGAGCATTAGATTCTAACTTTCTACAGCCAAATTCATATTATCACTTGAAATAAAGTTGTGACCTAAGTAGCAGTTTTCTAGTTAAAATCTAAAAGCAAACCCCGGCTGGTGTAGCTCAGTGGATTGAGCGCGGGTCTGCGAACCAGACAATCGCGGTTCAACTCCCAGTCAGGGCACATGCCTGGGTTGCAGACCAGTTCCCTGCAGGCCAGTTCCCAGCAGGGGACACACAAAAGGCAACCATACATTGATGTTTCTCTCCCTCTCTCCTTCCCTTCCCCTCTAAAGATAAATAAATAAAATCTTTAAAAAAAAAAGAAATAAAATTAAAAAAAAATCTAAAAGCAACCTCATTGCCCTGGGCTGGTGTAGCTCAGTGGATTGAGCACAGGCTGTGAAGCACAGGGTCTCCAGTTTGATTCCCAGTCAGGGCACATGCCTGGGTTGCAGGCCAGGTCCCCAGTAGGGGGTACATGAGAGGCAACCACACACTGTCTTTGTCC